CCTAAACCCTAAACCCTAAAGACCCTAAACCCTAAAGACCCTAAACCCTAAACCCTAAACCCTAAACCCTAAACCCTCGACTTACAGTCTACATAAACCACTCTTATACAAATGACACATTCGGGTTTTAAATAGAGGGTTAGCTGAGGAGACAGCTGGGGGCCCCTGGGGCCCCTGGGACCTCACACTTAGCCTTGTGCGTGAGCGCCCCTGCTGCTGCTGCAGCTGCAGCTGCTGCTGCTGTTGCTGCTGCTGCTGCTGTTGCTGCTGCTGCTGCTGCTGCTGCTCCGGATGATCCCGCAACAGCTTCTGGCCTTGGTGCTGTTTCTGCAAACACTGAAGTTGGTGCTCCTGCTGCTGCTGCTGCTGCTGCTGCTGCTGCTGCTGCTGCTGCTGCTCTGTCTCCTCGCTGCGCCCCTTCTGGCTATCAGCTGTCTCCTCCCTTTCCTTATTATCTGGTCCCCCTCCCTCTTCTGCTGCTGCTGCTGCTGCTGCTGTTGCTGCTGCTGCTTCTCCTTTCGGCTGCAGCCACCGCCCCTTCCTGCAGCAAGGCAGCTCGCTGGGGGCCCCCCCCCCTCCCTGGGGCCCCCCCCCGTTCCTGTTAGGGTACAGTTTAGGGGGCCTCCTCATATCTTCTATATCTGCACTGCCTCCTAAGCAAACCCCTAAACCCTCAGCTGTACGTACACCGCAGGGTAGGGGCCCCAGGGGGCCCCCCGCCGGGCACCCCTCACCAACGCAGCAAGGGGGGGCCCCCAGGGGGCCCCCAAAGGGGGCCCCTAGAGGGGCCCCTATAGGGGCCCCCATCAAACCCACGTCAACCCCAGGGGGCCCCTCAACAAACCCCCCATGCAAGGGCCCCTCTGGGGGCCCCCCTGTGAGCCCCCCTGGGGGCCCCCCATCCTCTGTACCCTCCAGGGGCCCGTCCCCTAGGGGCCCCCCTGGGGGGCCCCCTGGGGGCCCCCCAGGGTGTTCATCGTGTGTGTGGTGGCTGCTGTGTGGTGATGATGCTGCGCTGATGTGGCTGCTGAACAAGCCGGGGGCCCCCGGGGATAGAGGGGGGCCCCCAGGAGAGAGACAGGGGGCCCCCGGCGAGAGACAGGGGGGGGCCCCCGGTGAGAGACAAGGGGGGGCCCCCGAAGAGGAGAGAGAGGGGGGGGTTGCAGCAGCAGAAAGAGAAGGTAAGAGGCCCCCCCAGCTGCCTGCAGTGTACGGACAGAAGGGGCAATACATCATCATCATCATCAGCAGCTGCTGCTGCTGCTGCTGCTGCTGCTGCAGCTGCTGCAGGTAGTCGCAGCTCCACACCGCAGGGGGCCCCTCGCAGCACCACCCATCCAGGGGCCCCTCAGGGGGGGCCCCCTCATGGGGGGCCCCCTCGGGGGCCCCCCCCTCTGGGGGCCCCTCTGGGGGCCCCCCTCCCCCAGGGTAACCTACTAGGTCTTGCTGCTGCTCTCCTGAATACTGCTGCTGCACCGCCAATGCAGCAGCAGCAGCAACGCACTCCTGCTGCTGCTGCTGCTGCTGCTGCTGCTGCTGCTGCTGATATTCCTCCTCGTCTTCTGCTTTGCCTCCGTAAGCAGCAGCAGGCCCTGCA